AGAGCCACTGGGGAAAACGGGCCTGCCCCAGCATGCAGCCAGGGCTGTGATCACAGAAGCGTGCTGGCTACAAAGATCGTACAGGGCTTCGCCTTCTGATCTGGGAACTCCAGTGCACCAGCCGCTAATCTGCTTTATCAGCTATTTCGCTGACACAAAGGTGTTTACTTATTTTAACATCTCCCAGGACTCTATTTCTCCTTTTGTGTGGTCTTTATCCCCCAACAAGGTTTTAGCCCAGATTACAGATGGTGCCTCAGATCTGTGACACTAGATCAAGGAGCAGAGAGTGACAAAATAATGGAGTCCAACACATGAATCTAATGTTAGATTCCATTCTTTTGATTTAATGTATATCATTTGGAACTTACTTAAAAAGCAGGTGCTGTTTACCCATTGTAAGACATACAAGGGGAGCAGTTAAATTAATGAGCAGATCAGAAGATTATGATAGATACTTATTTGGTTTCATTTTGCTCTAAGTAGCTCTGCAATGGAGTAAAAGGGGTCATTTAGATGCTGTTTCCAGGGATTACCAAGAAGTGATTAGTTTTTCCCTGTAACTATGCAGTGCTAATCATGGGCAGATGAGATTACCAGTTGATACATTCCAGCATATTGTCATGAATGTTAACTCACTCATATATATTAGTCTTTACAAATAAGACTTGTAAGAAGCCAGTCAGCTACATTTTATTCTAGTGGCTGCTTTTTTTTAAAGTATTGACATTACATACTGCATATTATAGCATATAGAGTCTGTAATTATAAGACCTGTTTTTCCCACTGTATTAGCATCAGTGATTCAGTCACCATATTCTTAAAAAGAAGTAAATAAGCTTTAAATAAGCCATCACTGATGTCTGTAGCTGCAAACACTGTGGAGCAATTAATCCCAATAATTCATAACAGTTGCACTGTAGTCAGGTTCTAGTCCATTTATAAGCAGATCAGCTCACTCTGCTCCATCCCACATCAGTGACTTGGAAGCCTCCTAAAGTGAGCACAGAATACCTGCTCCTCATCCAAGCACTTGATCTGTTAGAAGGCTGTCAAGCCACTGCTAATATTACAGCTAAAAAACTGATTTTGGACGCCCCCTATACATTCAAGGATGCCCGAATCGTCCTAAATCAGGCAGTGACTAATTACTAAACTACGGCATTAAAAGAGAAAATCATGATATAAGCACAAGACCAAGCATTTTGTTTTTAAACTATAATTTATTAATCCAACTAATATCAAAAACGTTTAAAACATACACAAATAGGGTATCTCAAAAACTAAAAAAACACCCTTTTCCTCTGCCCTACAAACTGAGCAATTTTGGCCTTGGAAACAACCCCATGATGCTGCCCATTATCTATTTCTTCACTGGGTAGTCAAAAAAAGTGTGAGAAACATATGTCCATGAAAAGTAAGTGCCACAACCACTAGGTGTATGAATATAAGTGCATATGAATGCAAAATCTTAAGTCCATGCAGTTATCCGAGATCCACATGAGCAGTATATCTGTAATTAATCAGCCCTGCAGTATAATATACACATGTGGATTACTCCAAGATAGGCTGCATCTGCCTTTAGGGCTACCTATATATCTTAGCTCACCAGTCATATTAGTCATAGATCCTGCAAATTCATAGGTATGACTCACAGGAGTTATAAGCACCTATATGCATATACTGTATATAAATTATTATAATTTATAATCTCAGTGGATCCACGAATAGGCACAGATATGCGTGAATAGTGAATGCTTATCCTTCACACATCTCTCCAACTTCACATAGTTCATGTATCGGAGCAGCAACCAAAAGTAAAAATGGTCACTGCTAAAGCTGCTGAGAAATTATCTTTAACCAGATTGCAGTTCCTCTTTTAACTTTGAGAATAAATAGTTGCACATTGGTTGAAGCTACAGAGATCAATAAGGACAGTTTTTCTCATGCACTGTTTATATCTAAACTGACCATATGATAGTGTGTATAATGTGTTGAAGGGGAAGCACTGCTTTATCTGCTTTCTGAATGCAGCAGTTGTTTTCATAGAAAAGGTGTAAGAGCATGGAAGTTGTAGATAATATAAATTAACCATGTAATATAACCTCATGCAATTTCAAAATAGTCAAAGTACTTTTTGGGGATTTCTATGGCATATATAACAGGAATATATTATCTGATGCACATGGCTGTTATATACACTGAGTAGCCAGATTATTATGACCACCTGACGTTTGTAGGCAAATTAAAGGAGAACTATGGGGTCAGTGTTTTTCCCCATAGTTCTCCTTAGGGTAACGGGAGGACACAAACTAGCGTCCTCCCGTTACCCTAAGCTCTGTATCCCGCGAGCTACGGCTCGCGGTATACTGAGACGTCGCAGCCGGAGCGGATCCCGACTTAGATGACGGGATCCGCCCAGCTGCGTGAGTGACAGCTGGCTCTGCCTATCTAGAGGCAGAGCCAGCTGTACCCGCCCCCTCCCCCATCCGTTCCGCCAGTCAGCGCTGGCAGATCGGAGCGGGGAGAGGGGAATCCAGCCCCTCCCCCGTCACGGCAGAGAGCCGTGACAGGATCGAGAGGCGAGCGAACCCGGTATGTGTTCGCTCACCTCCGGATCTACTGAGCCAACCTGTGACAGTCTCATTGTCACAGGTTGGCTAGAACTATGAGGTGAGTGAAAAGCACTCACCTCATAGTTCTCCTTTAACTATAATTAGCTATAATTTCACGCTGAAGTTGCTAGAGGGCCAGACCTTTATAAATAGGAAAGCAGGTTTTTTACCACGACAGTAGAAGTGATTTTTTTTCTGAAGATATGGGTGAACAACGCGATTTAACGGCCTTTGAACGTGGGATGATTGTTGGAGCTCGGAGCCATGGAGCGAGTATCAGCAAAACAGCAGAATTAATTAAATGTTCAAGAGCAGCTGTTGTTAAAGTGTTTAAAGACTGGACTGTCAGCCGAAACTCTGGGTCTGAACATGCAAATTGTGGCCGTCAGCGACTAGTCAATTTTAGGGCAGAACGGAGAGTGGCAAGACTGGTACAAGACAACAGAAGGGCAACAGTGCAGTGTCAGATTCCTCGCATCACCTTTCAACATCTCGTGGAGTCACGAGGCGGCCCAACGAAGTCATCTCGTGGCCCAACGAAGTACTGATGGGGTGGTCATAATAATCTGGCCACTCAGTGTATACAGTATACTCTGGGGATAGGCAGAAGATTATTGAATGAGCATTATGCACTTAGGTACATTAACACTGATGTATGTATGAGAAGTAAAAAATGAAGATATATATCATCGCATGAACAGTTTTCCAGAGTCTAGTCCAGATACACCCAGATGTTACCCAGGTTTGAATTCAATCAAGTCATGTATACTTAACCTGAAAAATACTAATATCTGCTTTAGAAAAGGGATTTAGCATGCAAAAGTTATGGCACCTAATGCCATTGAAAAAAGAATCTTGGCATTATTTGGATGGGATATGTATTGAATTGCACCAATTTTCAGGTTAGACTTAGGAGAAGTACACATTGTAAGAGTGATGAGAAAGACCATCTTGTATACAATCTTTATTTCAAGTGTAATAAAACAATGGTCCAATTCTTCTTGGGAGTCCATGTGTCAGCAGGTTCTACAGTGAATTGGAGCAAATACACATTTTAATATGCAATGTCACTGCTTAAGAACATAAAGTTGGATGTGTGCCTCAGACACCTGCTTCAGGGACTAGACTGGAGGATTGAGACAGCGCTTCAGTAAAAAACAGCATATGTTCCAAAAAGAGACATATATGCATCTGGTTTAATAAACATTACTGATCTTTACTGTATCTGAGCAATGAAAATGTATTCTCCTGTGAAAGAAGATATCTGCTCTTACATAATGATTTATGGTCCTTGGAGAAATTAGAGGGGGCTGACTAGAGTTTCATCTCAGCTAACCTGTTCAAAGCAAAGTTTAACATGTAAAGATTAGCATATATCCTGGCATAGTAATAGGTAACAGCCATGCCTGGATTGGGAGTCTGGAAATACTAGATTTTTCCATAGGAGCTGTTCTGCCAGAGAGTATTTGCGGATGGTGTCATATCCTAGATGCTTGTAAATCTATGTTAGTAATTAATAGAAATGTTCCCTACACACTTTATATTCAGCCCCCCCTCTCCAAGAAGATATGGGGAAACATTTTATTTATTCAGATGCTTATTTTATTGTTGAGATATTGTTGAGATAATTAATAATTGTGTCTGTCAGCACATTTGGGTAAATGCACATAAAAAATAATGTTTATTTCAGTTCCCACCCACACATAAATATATACATTTTTATTGTAAGCATACACGTACCTACAGTATGGGTATAGCCAGGAGCCCTTGCTGTTGAGGTTTATCTTTAACTTTGCAGTGGCCTTAAGACAACCCCAAAGTTGGATCATCCACAAGAAAGCCTAGGCAGGAGCCCAGAGCAAAGTGGATATACAGGTGGCCCAGCTACAACCTTTATTCTCCTGCAGCAAACCAGGGGGACTGTACAATTGGTCACAACTGGGCACCTGCCTGTCGCCTCACAAGGGACTATGCACTTGTAGGCAGTTGGTACTGTATCTGAGCCATGCCGGAACACACAATACAAATGGGGGCAGCTTCTCTGTGCCTATTGCAATCCTTGTCATTGACAATCTAAATGACTGGGTGGCCAAAGCTGCAACTTCACCTAGGTTCGCCTTCCTTAACCGGAAACCCAACAGCCAAAATCACAGAGGCAGATGTCAGAGGTCTAATGCCTCTCTGATACTGACAATATTTTATTGTGCCTGTTCTCATTGGAATTTGTCCTTCCATACTTCCATATTTTAAGTTTTCATAATGAATGTGTGTGTGCACATCTAGCACTAACACAAAAAACACTTGGCAACCTGTATAATAAACACTATGGTTAATGTTTGTGGTCACAAATACCAATGTTAATGGAATTTCTCATTGTCATTTCAGTGGCCAGCTGATAAACTGCCTTGGAACTGAATTTAAACGAGGTGCTGGTGTTCTGGATGTCTGCTATGAAACACCTTCCATTGTGCTTTCATGTGGCTATGATACGTACATAAGGTATTGGGACTTGAGAGCAAGCACCAGGTAATGATTTTTAAGTGCTTCTGGATGATACAGTATATTCATACTTAAAGAAATGATATCATACATCATGAAACACTATTTAGGTTGCTCGCATAAATAAAATGTTAAAGCATTTACTGATGCTGCCCTTGCATAGCAATTCATTATACTTTTTGTCGGTAAAATCGATGTAGGTTTCTTCAACCTCTGACACTTCTAAACAGCCAGACTGCTCCCTCCTTTCTTTCCCTCTTTTGGACCATCAACGCAATTGGCTGCTGCCTGTAAAGCCTCCAGCGCTCTGATTAACAGCAGGAAACAGGCTGAGTCTCTCTACCTGTGCGAAGCATAAGAACTCACTGCTGTCACTGGTCATGTGCAGGTACTCTCCCACAAATTGCTTCAGGCGTTGTAAGCTTTACAGGCAGCAGCCAGTCACTTTGGTGATGTCAGGGCCTGTTACAGAAAGCCTCCGAGACTCCTAATAGTGTCAGAGGACGTAGAGAAGTACAGGGCTATTACTCACAAAATGCATAATGAATTGCTATAGCAAGGGCATTATCAGCAAGTGCTAATTTTAAACATTTTATGTATGTGGTCAGCTTGAAACGTGTTACCTGATGACATTGATAACAACTATGGGGAAAAATGTTGTATTCTGTTAATTGTATGGGGGTTAATACCTGTAATGGCAGTATTCAGCATATGAATGCCTTTTTCTATTTCATATGTTTTGCTTTATATATCTCTCCACTTTTAAATACAGACCAATATGCCCAGCAAAATGTAACGGTTACAGCAGTTGGGACAAACCGTATAACTATGCCAGGGGTGCTTTCAATGGTTATCTTTTATTCATATCATTTTTTTTTTTAAAGGACCAAAAACGTTTTACTGTGTTAAAAAAGTTTGTTGAGGTTAGACTTTAATTTGTATGTCTCTTACTCTTACTAAGTTTATTTAAAACTACTTTTGCATCCAAGACCCTGTCTAGGGTGACATTGTTGCTACACAATTACACTGCAGAGTGAACAACATTGTCACCCTATTAAAGAAACTGGAAAAACAAGATCCACTGTAAAGATCAAAAGGTAATAAAATTGTATTACAGAAATACAAGGTTAGGGCTCTTTTACACGGGTGTGCAAATCCGTAAGGTGTGCATGTCCATGCAGAGACTCGATCCCGTGAAGGACAGCAGCTGCATGTATTTGAGGATGTGGCTGCACACAGTTACATGCAGATCCAAACCTGCACATCCACGCAGCTCTGGGTACCCACACTTGGACGCACACTATCTGCACGCAGTTACATGCAGCACCTGTCCCTCCCGGGATCAGGTCTCTGCACGGGTATGCATGCCGTATGGACACACATCTGAATGAGCCCTCATATGTTATGCCCTAAAGCAGCCAATTGGATTCAATCTTTCTTTGTCTTAGTCCAGTACAATTTTGCATCTGATTATATGTTGTGGGTCAATACCAACAGTTATTTTAAGGATCTTTTATTAAAAATAGACTCTGTGTAGTAGCATAGAGGGGTCCCCTTTCTTGTAGCCCACCCCCATTCTTTGGGGCCAGAGATATCTAATTGCCGTACAAGACTGGTTTTGCTGATGCAATGATGCTATTCACTGACCCAGAGGATCACTAGGATGATCATTCTCTCTGCACTTCCCCCGCTGCCCTGAAGTACATAGCACCAAAATGCATCTAGGTATTTGAAGTCATTTCCATGAATACCAGTAGTGTGGTCCAAATTCAGATTTGTTGATTAGTATTCGGAGGAAGTGGCCAGCTAAAAATCTATCCCAGCTGTTGGATCTCCCAGACAGAAAGTATTTTCAGAATGTGTTTTACTTAACATTATCCCAGAATCCCAAGGTAATCTGAGATTACCCAGATAATTTGGACAATATCCACATTTATGACATAATGAACAACCAAAACTATCAAGAGCAAAAATATCCCAAAACCATAATGTAGCAGGACCTTATCCTTCAGTGTATGATAGTAAACAATTAGTAACTTTTCTGATAACTTTGATACTGTAATGCAGAAAGGTGTATGTATGTATGTATGTATATCTATATCTTGCAGAATTGCACATTCAATTATTTTTCCATTAGAAATTTCCCAGTTTTTGCCATTGGGGTGCAGCAAAGTGCATTTATCAAGCTGTTTTTCTGTAAATCCTTTGTTTGTTCGGACCTGACTTTTAAGGTACTCACTCACAGACAATATGTATTGTTTTATCACAATTTTATTTGTATATACACAGCGTCCTAAAAACAATAAAAACATATAACGTATGGAATAATACAAATGAAAACTTGACATATATGAATGCCTTTTAGTTCTCCACATCAAATTATAATAATATGCCTTATTGAAAAAAAAAATATCAAACCATTTAAATAAAGGCAGTTGGATGGGATTCACACAACGTGTTTCACTGACATGCGTTCAGATTTATCCGGAGTATAAGAGGCAATTTATAAATATATATACATACATATATACCTTACTTGATCTTATAATTGAACCATCTTGGAGCCAGTTGTATAGGAGTGTGTGGTAAAAGTCTGTTGGGCGAATGCAGGGACATCAGCAGGTAATCCCCTCCAGCCGGGTTTCATAGGACAGCAAGATTCTCATAAAATAAAATATCTGATGCTAGGTTAACTTCAAAGCCCTGAACAAGCATAATGAATCAAGATAGGCAATAACTACTATTGAGAAAACTGATCACTTGCTTGCCCTGTCTTACAGTATCATGTTTGGCAGAAGGTTGGGGTTACACTTTAAAGCTCTTTGCAAAAGATGTCTAATTAAATGTTAAACCTCATGTAGGGTAACCATCAGTTATCTGGGATTTGTAGCTATCAGACAATCCCAAAGTCTCTGTCAGAGGATCAGGACAAGCAGTACGCGTATATTATCACACCATGCTGAGGTCTGAGAAATAACGAGTTGAGGGAGTCAAAGGCATCAGAAGAACGTGGAATCACACTCCCACTGCAATTATAAAATAATTTTAAAATAACTTTTAATTACAGGCACTGGCTGGGCTCCACAGCCAATCTGCTTTGTTGGTGCCTAAATGTGCTTGACACATCCAGTTCGGAAGCTGGTACAAACTGAACACATTTGTTCTTTATTTTACCTATTTTGGTGATATCGAATGGGGTCTAAATTTCCTTTCATTACATTTACATATTGAGGACAGAAGAGTTGTAGAAGCTTAGATCAGAAATGTGTTATTTTGCAGGTTTGTTGTTCTTTGGAGAACATGAACACCAATTTTCTCATGTGGTGACCAGTGGTGCTGTGTCAGTGGAATGACTGTTATCTCGAATTTCATCTAACTGCTGAAAAAACAAGCTTGCACATTAGACAGAGATCCTTTATGCCTCAAAAAAAACCTGCACATTTCATATACTAATTAATATCCAGCAACTTAAAGTGGACCTGTGCCTTGAGCCCCAATGTCTGTAGTGCAAGATCATCTAAGACCCTCTTCGTCTGATGTCTAGTCTCATGAGATTTGAAGTGCGATTTGATTGTGTCATCTTTTGCAGCTCACTAGTCTCCTTGCTGGAGAAGAATCTGTACTTTAAGACCTGTAGTACAATGATCTCCCTGCTTCTGCATCATCTGCCCTGTGTATATGTGCACCTCTCCTGCTACTTCAAGAATGTTGCCCCACTTGTCATCAAATTATCAGTCATCTCGGGGACTGCTCTAATGTGAGGAATCAAAGCCCAGCCTCTATCAATATGGCTGCCTCCACACAGAGGCGGTCTGTGGCATAAGGCATGTTACGCCAGTAATGGAGAAAAGGCAGCTTTGGGCAGTAATGGTGACTAGTCGTTTGCCCTCTGCTTGCCTTTTTTGGGCACAGCTTTCGCAGTTCAGGTCCTCTTTAAAACAACAGAACTAGTAGGAGCAAAGTGGCAATTCTAAACTACAGCAAGAATCATTCCTAAAGCAGATTGTTAAAGTCAGCTGCCTACCCCGAAAATCCCCAGCACCTCTTTTGCTTATTTCAGTTAATGTTAGACAACAACTCCAAAGACCTGTAGTAGTGCCCTTACTTTGTTTTCAGCTGTATGTCGCTCTACCCCCTCTCTTGTTGAAGCCACCACCATCTTGCATCTGTCTCTACACTTCCTCTTTATGTTCTTACACCCTTCATGGATGGCATAAACAAATCCCGGGCATGTGAAAACTGTACCCAATCCTCTTTTTGACTAAATGTGCAGCAATAGTAAGAAATCCCAACCCCTGTGTCGTCACTAGTCACAACTGTTTCCAAGGAAGTAGACAGAGACTCGCAAGAGTAAGTCTCTGTGCCGGAGACAGAGTTGCTGGCAGGGCGCTTTCCACAGCATGACACAGCCAGGATGACACAAATTTGTTAGGAACTGGGCATACGCATGTGATGTCACCTAAAGAGAAAGCATCAATAACTCAGGACTAGAAAGGCTTTAGAGGCTTTTGATTAGATCTAGAAGTGTGTGAAATCGGCTTGCTAATATGTAAAAGTTGTAACATACAAAGTAAGTAAATGTTTTATATTAGTGTATGTCTCTTTGGGCTGTGTACAATGCATTTTTACTTGATATTGTAGCCCTAAGTTATCCTTCTTGAATTTTGGTTATGCTAGAATTACAGATATTGTTCAGCTTAAGGGGATAATTTGGGTAAGGGCCGGTACTGACATGATTTTCTTTGTGTCCAAACTGCTTCTCTTAACATACTGAGGGCTTTTCTGCTGAGGCTGCACCCTGATTTTATTTTTAGCATTTGAGCTGAGACTTCAGTTGGACTTTAAAGTTCACAGATGTGGGCATGCACGTATATAGAGGAAATGAGTGCAAGGTGCTGTTTTTTTCTAATCCTTTCAGATACTCTGATGATTTGGATTCTGATTCATCTACTGAATTTATATTCTTTTGAATATAATATGATATATTATATTGAGCTCTTTTATACCTATACCATGTTCAGGAGGAA